CCGACTGCCATAAACGGACATCCTCCTAACTCTTGGCTGTCGTTCGCTGGATTAGGAAAGCCCGAGGCTCTCCCGAGGGCACCCATTATGACTTCAGTGGAGCCCTCTCGAACAAACACGGATCAACAGCCAGACCATATAGTACTGGCCGTCCATCTATCACAGTCTTATTCGCCCGGTTTATTCTCTCCCCATGTTGCCTCGCTCGAAGCTCAGCCGCAATGCTGCGACCACAATTCAGCGTCGTCTTGCGAGCAAGAACACACGCAAGCAGTCGCAGTCAGATTTCGGCCTCATCCCTGAGCTACCCCAAGCGGCCCCGGTGCTCCCTCCGCCTGAAGAACAGTGCAAGATCATTGCACGAAGGATAGGCAAGGCAGAGCGTGAGGAACGCATGGACATTACCATGTCGCTGACTCCAGTCAAGACGTATGTATTCACTATGCTTAGATTCTTGCGCGCGCTTCGAGCGTGACATTGCCAGCCGACTCGGGTCAGCGGCTCTTGCTACTTAGTTCCCCTGGGCTGATTTGTTCCATTACAGTTACATGGGGGGCTTCACGCGGCCGCGTGATATTCGCATATCCAACTGGATGCCCGGTGGACAGTATGTGTTAAGGGAGAAGCTATACGAGCCACCCCCGGCCTCTGCGTACGAACCACACACAGTCTTCTTGGTCGAGTCGCGCTACCCGGTCCGGCATGGAATCGGGCGTGCAGATACCCTCGAGCATTTCGTCGGTGTATGCCGTGAGGGCGATCTGCCAGCGGTCCTCGCGCGACTGAACAGCGACAAGGCCCCTAAGGACACACTTCAGTCGATGGACAATGCACGTTGGCCGTGGATGCCTCAGAAGAAGATTCGCCAGGTGAAGTGGGAGGAAGGCGAGAGTCGAGAGGATCTGCTTGCGCGGCTGCTGGCGGAGGACGCAGAGGTGGCAACAAAACTTGTTGCTGAGGAGTCAGCAAGGCAGCCACCGCAACAACAGACGGCTGCCCCTAATCCTCGCAAGAAGGCTACACGGTCGGAGCTCATTGCTAAGGAGCTCATGCATTCTGCACCGGGCGGTGGTGGGAGTCGAGTGCACCACCGGATGTTCCATTTCTCGTTCCATGCGTCTGCAGAGTCTGATACCCCTCTGGGTGCCCCCGGTACTTTCAAGGCTCGGACGGCGATCCCGACATCTTCATGGAGCCGTCCGCACAAACCGTCGCAAGACGCAGATGATAATGTGGTACCATCATATTACGTCGAGCGCAAGCGGCAGCGCGATGCGGTCGAAGAGCGGAAGGAGGAGGAAGGAGGGTTGATGGCGCAGCTCAGTGCTGGCATTCTGAGCGAGGGCGTCGCGGCGCACACGAAGGCGCGCGAAGAGAAGATTCCTGTTGAGGTGCGGGATCCCCTTGACGGAACGGTCAGACATCCTAGTGGGTTCGAGCCGCCAACGCCAGAGACGCATTTCCATCCTGCTGTAGCAAAAACGGCGACGGAGGATCACCCGATGATGTCAACGGTGAAGCAGCATTGGGACGCACTTCCGATGAACGCCGACGCGCGAGAGGTTATCGGACCCGACAATGGCGTGGCTCAAGAATTCATTCGGAAGAAGATCTCGGAGGTCGTTGATCGCGCTGAAGCTATCCCGTCACACACGCAGGAGGAGCAGAGTCCAATTGAGATGATCGACTTACTTGCCACTGGCACCACTACAACGCCCGAGCAACGAAGGGCAATCCCGACGTCAAGCTGGGATTCGCCAAAGAAATCGCCTAGGTGGAAACAACATCCCGAGGACGTCGTGCCTACGTACTACGTTGAGCGCAAGCGACAGCTCTCATCAGTCGAAGAGAGAATAGAGGCCGAGGGCAATCTGATGGCCGAGCTCAACGAGGGTATCTTGAGCGAGGGCCTCGCCGCTGACATCAAGCATCGCGACGAGAAGATCCCCGTCGAAGTCAGAGATCCTCTAGATGGCACCGTGCGGCATCCGAGTGGCTTCGAGCCTCCCACGCCTGAGACGCATTTCCATCCAACTGCTGCAAAGTCGGTGACAGAGGATCATCCGATCGTCTCGACGATCAAAGTGCCATGGATGGATGCGGTGAGCCCGAAGAATAGTAGAAGTCTTCACACTAGTGCAGTCATGCGGGCAACAGCAGTACCGTATGCCGCATTTCACCTGATGTCGCCTGCACTCGCTCAGGCTCCTCAGCCAGTCCAAGCAGCTCGCCAGCAGGAGGACGTCGACGAGGATGATCACGACGCAAATTTGATGCAAACGGAGGATATCGACGACGAGACTCTCCATGTTCGAAAACAGTATCTCCCCACGCTTGGTGCACAGCCGTTCTGGCGTCCGCTGCTTACAGCGACTTTTGCCACTCGTCCACTTGCTCTGACCTTTGCACGTCTCTCGCGCGGCCAAACACGAGGCACACCGTACTATGTGAGCGTGAGCAACGATGACCGCAAGTATGCCCCGTCGCTCCAGAGCCGCCTCCGGAATATGCGTATCAACAGAATGCACGGACTCGCGATGGATATGGGGCGTTTGCTCAATGGCGAGCGCGGCGGATTTCTTGGCATTCGCTTCAGCCCGGAGCAGCGTGGACGGGCTATCGATGGCGAAGGCATGTCAGACCCCATTCAGATGGATAAGCGCATGATCCAAGTCGGCGTGGGGGAGTGGTACGCGCGTGTGGAGGAGGTGAAGGAGCAATTCAGCGAAGGAGCCCGCGATGCGGAGGTGGCAGAGGCAGTGCGTGTGTTTGGATTGGATGAACACGGGCAGCGGACCGATGACGGTGCATGGCCCTCGAGGCCGGAACCCTACCCGCGGTACGAAAGTCTGGAAGAATATGCCCTGCAACAGTCCCCTCCTGTCAATCTCTCCGCAATGGACAAGAAGGCGGCGAAGGCGGCCAAAGAGGAGCTGGTGGCTAAACACAAGTATGAGATCGCGCGACTGATGTCGTTGCCGAGCAATGGGGTCATCAGGCCCTACATATTTAAGTCGACACAGCCTTGACAAAGTTGAAGGTCTTCATACCCTATTCACTGCATGCATTACCTAGCGCTTTACCCATGTTTGTAGCATACGTTTTCACCCGCATCTTCATATAATCGTGTTCCATGTCATCTAGGTTGGGTCGGCATTGGGCTATTCATTGACGTGCGTCAGTGCTAGACGCAGTACTGTAGAACATAATCCCTATTCAAACGAGCTGTATATATTCAATGAGAGACGACGAATTAGAATACCAGAACAGAGTTCAATAGTAAATGAGTGACCGGCAGGTATAAGGGTATCAACCGAACTACCACACAATTCAACGTAGTCCATGCGACTGCGAGAAGTTCTCTATCGCCTATTGGTTCCCCTGCCATAACCAGCCTGGAGGTTATCAAGCTCGGCCTCAAGTGACTTGATGGCACTGTGGGCCAACTCAAGATCTTTGTTGAGACGGTCACGCTCTTGAATGAGCTAGAAACGCAAACATTGAACAATACGTTCAGCAAGTGTTCGACAAGTAAAAGCTCACATGCTGCTCCCATTGCCTGAAGCGTGCCTCCTCAGCCTTGACCTGCTCAGTGAAACGCCGGCGAAGCTGCTCCTCCTCTTCCTTGAACTTGGGGTTCTCGAACTTGCGCGGCTTTGACTCGCCGGGCTTGCGGGACTCCATCTGTCCCTGGCGATAGTTCTCGTAGTGCAGCTCTTCCGTCGTGGAGATGAGGTCAAGCATGTGCGTGCGGATCAGCAGCGAGCGCAGCTTGCGGAAGTCGCAATGATTCTCATTTTCAACTGACAGTGACCATGTTAACCTCGAGAGAAGCACCTGTACAAAACTAAGAGCTGACCTTCGGCGACACCCCAGAGATATTCACGACCCTTCACAACGCGGCCGTCCGCAGTAGTCACATCCTCGGTCGAGCCGATGATCGAGAAAGGCATTGCCTCGGCGAGAATGCGCGCGTGTTCCGCAGTAACTTCGTCGTCAGGTTCAATGGGGGGCTGGTAGATACGAATGCCCTGCACGTGAATGACCTCCCGAATCTGATAAAAATGAGCTATAATTCATGCAATGAGAAGAATGGACGTACGCGCTGCTTGAAAGTGAATAGGTCGTTTTGAGTGAGCGTGTCGGCTTTGGCAATGACCGGAATGAGATTGACACGGGTACCGAGACGCTTCATGATCTCAATGTCCAGCGGCTTAAGTCTAAGGGGGAAAGGGGGGGGATTCGTCGCAGCTTAGACGGCTCGAATCAATGAGGAACTTACGTGTGCCCTGTAGGCCTGATGAAGTACAAGCAGGCGTGCACCCTCAGGTCAATTTTATCCTTCCTCTGCGGCTGCTGCTCCTGGCGCATATAAGCCTCGTGCTGGTCGTCAATGAAGTCGACAATGGGGGCCCAGGAGTCGCGGTTGTTCACGTAGTCACCGAAGCCGGGAGTGTCAATTACGGTGAGCTTCGTCTTGAACTGTTTCTCCTCGAGCTCGGCCTTAATGATCTCGACCTCGGTGAGCTTGTCGAGTTGCTTATGGTGACGGCGGTTGTAGTTCTTCGGGGGCGACAGCTCTGTCGAGAAAAGCGTGTTGACGAGCGTGGTCTTTCCCAGACCGGACTCGCCTGGGCCCAATGTGAGCCATGTGAAACGTAGAGTAGCATTTGTCTGAAAACTTACCGACTACCATAACCGTGAAGTGAGCCCCGTGCTTCGCAACGATCTTGTGTCGCTACGGACCAAAATTGTCAAACAGAGCAGACAAACATACGTCGCGCGAACTCTTACCTGGTTCGGCAGGTTCGCGATACCAATACCGTTGGACATGGGCGGCGGGAGGTTGGCCATTGTTGCTGAAAGAGAGGAGGACAGCTCACGCAGAAGGAGGTGTCTGAACCGAATGCTCGGTCGCGAACGTCGGTGGCAGATTTGATTAGTACTGTTTGTTATCTGTGGCGTGCGCTCATCGCTAGCCAGCGTCCAACCATGTACTTCTAACGTGCAACCTTTAGATTCTGCAGTGAGCTCAACCGCTCTTTTTACTGGAATCTAGTCTGCTCGACTACAAGTCTTCGAATAACGTCAAGAAGGAAATCCTCGTGATTTACGTACGCCACAGCAGCGTGCGCACAACTTCATCTGCAGCGATTAAGTTGTGCATCAGATATGTGACTTTCAAATGGATTAATCTGGTTATGTCGTATATCATCCTCTTGATTGAGTGATTTAAGCTGACTGGGAAGAATACCCTCACGCGACGAGGTGGATGTTCATGAAATACGAGGGAAGGAGAACTCCTCCCCGAAATTTAGGCATTAATGCCTGTATGAGTGATTGATTTGTTGTTATACACGACTGATAAGACTTTTGTTGTCCATCCTGTTTCCAGCTATGCTTCTCCATATTCCTCTCGCAATAGCGCTCAACC